GAATATTATCCACATAGTCAAATATGGCATTGGATGGACTCAAGTCAACGTTGATTTATACATCATATAACTTATTTAGGGGTTATGTAGTTACTACTGTCACAGAACTTCTGTAGTTATTTTAATCCAAACCAGAATCCAGAACATGTATATACCTGATATACCTGATACTGCCTGTTAATCAGAGCCCTTTTTCAGCATAAAGGGGAACCTGTGAGTGTTCTGTGTAGAAATAAATTAATGTAACACAAAAAAAAGTTTGAATTTTGAGAATTGCCTGAAAAGAAATGACTAACACACCTATAAGTCCTATAAAACATGGAGATACCAGTCAAAAAGCACATCTACGTGACAGCCCAGCGTGTGGACCGGTCGTCCGATCCTATTGGATCCAACTAACACCGAGGCGAAAAGAGCGACAGCTTCCAAAGCAACTCAGAAGCCAAAATGGGTGAAGCGTAAAATGGCGCTGGATAGTGACAATTAGATTAGAAAACCCTCCCCTAACCTCTAAAACCTGTGCGGAAGGCGATGAAATTGCTTGTGATGTGCAGACAATGGCCGATGCGCGTATCTCGCTCAACAAAACAAAAGGATTTCATCATTTCATAACTTTTCACATTGTACCTGGCATCTCTTAGTCGCCCTTCCGCATTCTAAATATCGTACCTTCCCTTCAGCGTTTAAAAACAACAACACAGCGAAGGTCATGTTCCCTAGTTGACAATGGCGACAATGCCTGACTTGAGGCCTCAAAACCTCAGTCCAAAAACCGATGGATGATGTCCCATCGGTTTTTGCTTTAAGCTGTCCCGCTTAAAGCCTAGTTTATGCTTCTGCGTTTTCAGAGCGATGCAGACGCAAGCCCCCCTTGCGTGTCTCTTACGTCGCTTTTCACACCTTTTCACACCACCGCCATTTTTCTAGGCTTGCGTTGAAAGCGACGCAAGCCTCCCGCAGCGCACCAGGCTGCGATTGGTCTGCTAACTACGTCCTTTACGGAGTCTCACAATTACGCTTTCATAGCCCGATACCGCCATTATTAAAACGAAGAATGTTTACGAGAGAACGGATCAGATTGAAGAACTTTTGTCGGAAGAAATGCGTACATATGAGCGCTTATACAAGCCGTCATTGGCGGGTTGTAGAAGCGGGTTGGATTCACGGAGGGAGATCGCCGCGACCGCCGGTTTGCCGGTCGAGTGGCGCACAAAGTTGTGGAGGAAAATACGGGACAAATGTGTCCTTGATGAAAAGCAGCAGTGGCGATGCACGGGGCAATAAAGTCTATGATAAATAAATAAACCAATAAATAAATAGACGTGACTCTCTAGGTCGTCTTCAACAGAAAAACGTCACTCCGCCTGTTGTTCTGGCGGTGAATTGCTCTGCAACACACGCAGAACCATGAATAGAGAAACGAGTACTAATTCATCCGGACTTGCCAGCTTGTCCTGCCGCGGCGTGAATTACCGTAATTATTGTAATGTTCAGTCTTAAATGTTAAATGCAGAGCTAAATTTAGACTCTACATTTAACATTTACATTTAACAGTTACATTTTACATTTTACATTTAGATTTAACATTTAGATACAACATTTAACATTTACATTTAGATTTAACATTTACATTTAAATTTAACATTTAGATATAGCATTTAACATTTACAATTAGATTTAACATTTGCATTTAGATTTAACATTTAGATATAACATTTAACATTTACAATTAGATTTAACATTTAGATTTAGATTTAGATTTAGATTTAACATTTACATTATTAAACAACTTTGTTACTGCCAAACATTATCCTTGGAAAAGATATTGCATGAATGTACATGAATTTCTCTCTTAATGTTTGAAAAAGTGACATGTGAATATTGTCGTGCTTTTTTGTTCATATGATAATGCTAAATGTGGAGAAACTGCGCAGGATTTTAGAACGTGCAACATTTTACAAACGGCGCCCCATAGAGCTCCTCCTCACTTTGTTGACATTTGCTTTGATTCGGCGGTTACGGCCGATACAGCACAGCTCACGCGGCGAGCGAAGCGACCCCCCGGATCCCTGTCAGGTAAACGCAGGTAGCCTCTGTCAGCTCTACCGCCATTGTTAGCAATGTGGGGGCTGGGGGCTCTCTGTCACCATGCTGAGATGATATTGAAATATTCTTATCTTATGTTTGGCATTAATCATACTTCATCATACAAATTCAAGTGTTGCTTTAGTACAATTTAACGTTGGATGTTTACGTTGGATTGGTCACGTTTCTAGTACTCCAACAGATCGCCATTTAGACTCATCCTCTACTTTTAGCTATCTATTTGATGGTTTTATTACTTACTTTTATTTTATCATTTGAGCTAACTGGTTTGACTGAGCCTATGTTAACACGTACTGATCAGTGTGTGGATATATTTAACTGCAGCTTATTTCTCTGGTCCGCTTTGAGACGGGTTCTTTGACTAATATCTGTTTCAAGATGGCAAACAGCAGAGAACACGAGAGGCAGAAACCCCCTAAAAAACCCTTTCAATCACGATAAAGATAAGTCGTCCAACGAAGCACTGCTGCGTTCAGAAAACCGAATACAGACACCCTGTCTCTGATCATCACTTGATAGTGTGCCGACACGCAAACTCTATTAAGCTGTCTTCAAATATGCAAAAATGATATGATTTTACAATGATTACATATTCACTTCCCCAGCTGGCTGGCTCCAAGCGTCTCCATTTGTCATCGACTATTGTGTCCAATTATATGATTAGCTTTGAACACTCCAGCACTTCGAGAGCTCTCGTGTGTTCTGCTGCGCTGAGTGATTCACAAACAAAGTCATTACAACATGTATTCACACATATCAAATAACAAAACAGATGGCCACTGCGCTCGCCGCCTGATTTGTTTTCCACACGAGTGGTAAAAAAAAAAAAAAGAAGTATTTCGTGCGAGCTGTTTTTAATGCTGACTGTTTTTTATTCCCAAAGAAGAGCAGCTGGCTGTCGCGCTGTTAGATCAGCTCCTATGAAAGACAATCTTGTTTTCATTAATTTCTCTACAACAAAGGCACTTGTTGGGAAGATTTAGAATTACAGCGGGTAAAGCTTCCGGATAATTCATCACAAGGACTTGACAGGAAACTTAATTGTTTTAAATGCCAGTTGCTGTCGGCAGCGTGGCTGCTCTTCCTTTGATGTCTAACAGGTGGGACAGACGGACGACCCTCTGATGTTTCGTTTTACCTTTGACCTCTTGGTAATAAATCCGCTCGTAGGCTCCCGGCCGATAAACCTATCATCATGTGATGAACTCCAGTTCCCAGAATTCTGTGTGAGACGAACATCTTGTAGTGTGCCTCCTGTGATTAAACACGGAGTAAGTCTAGTCTTGGCGTCCCCCATGGGACCATGGGACCTTTCTCGCTTCGCCTAACGCACGGCGCCAACATGGCGGACGGCGTGGCTTGCTAGCAGGTAACTTACCTACCCTGATGTTTTTTTCTGCCGGAAGGCAAAAGGACGAGCAAGGCCCTGTTGATAATGAGAACATTCTGCTCTGAGTCTAATGTAGCTAATCCAAGTCATTTTTCAACAGATTTAAAGACAAAATCTGTTTTTGAAATCTGTTCATTTTTTACATTGAAGAATTTACAGCCAAATTGGACCATTTACCATTTTATCCTTTCTTCATTAGCTACCATACATCTTTAGTCAGTGTAACCACTGTACAAACCAACCAACCACCACATCAACTCCCATTGCTGTTTTAAATTAAATTGAAATTCAATTAAATGCATTTTCTTGTGGATTTGTGAAAAAAAGCCTAAAAAAACAGCTATTATCTCAATTGCACAGCATAACCCGATGTATTTAGATCTGTTTGCAATTGATGGGCCATCGATAACCATTCAGAGAAAGGCTATGGTGCAATGTGGTCACACCACAGGCCGCCTCGACTGTATGATTGAGTGAGACTCTACATCGTTACTCAGCTACACTGACTCCTCTGTAATCCAGTCAAGACTGTGTACGTGTGACAGACACACTAACACGATCGTCTTAACTATTGGCAACACCAAATCAAATTCTTAGCTCGGTTTGTGTTGTGAAAACTGTCAGTTTGTGCTCCTTTATTTCAATGAGTGTCTTCACACTGTCACACATTCAGCACCTTTGGAGCTCAACACTCGTCCACCATTTGAGAAATAACTTGGGGACAAACTGGGTCTTTTGCACCAGGGTGCTTACACTCAGCAGCAGAGACGTGACATTAAACGTCTCCCTATGCGGAAAGAAGGTTGTCTCTCTGAATGTTACCGTTCAAAATCTAGTAAACAGACCCGCTGACATCTCCTGAGGATGTTACTGTAAATGCACTTCAAGTGGCTGAATCATTTAACGTCCAATCAATATGATTCGCGTTGCACCATCAACACACTTTAGTCCGACTCCGAGTTGATGAAGCCGGTACCACAGCAGTTAACAACTTTTGGGTTGGGGGCTGAGAAGTTCACCCAACTTAGATTGAAGGGGGGAAAAAAACGCAGAAACAGAAGCAGATCCCTCCAGCAGTGAAGTAAAAATCTTACACCATCCACTTTAAAAGTAAGGAAAGCCCAGTTCTGTTGTTCTCTGGCAGGTAGATAAGGTCTAGCTGTGCCATGCTGCCATCACCTGGCGGATGAGCTAACAACAACTTCCTGGTCAATTGCGGTGTGTGTTTAAAATCATCTCGAGCTTCACAACTAGGTTGAGGTGACAGCATGTCAAGCATACGTGTGACATCAGGTTGATGTCTATTCAACCCACCCGGCAGCGCTCAGGCTGCAGATGTGGTACGGGGACCGAAAGCAGAAGCAGCGACCTTTTCAGAACCCGCCATCTTTTCCTGTCGTCCTCGCTCATCACAAACCTCGCGCATTGTTGAGGCAGTCAAGCCCTTTCATATTGCTGTTGGTTGAGTTTATACCATGATAACAACAAACTGCCTCGGGCTCTGTTTTTGTTTTAAACAATTGTCAGCTTTATTCTTTGCCTACATGTGTTACACCTGAGCTGCAGACACTGGAAAATATGCATCAGAAAACATCTCAAGTCTCATGGGTGAGTCGCTCAGCTCCAAAACACAGATGTTTGTTGCCACAACAGCAGCACTCCCTCACTGAGAGTGTAAATCACGCCTCGGAAATTTATTGCGAGTTTTTGATCCCTTTTCGCAAAGAACCACGTACCCAGCGGAGCGTTCAGCGTTTGCGCAGCTTGTCTCATATCATTGCGGTCAGGTTGCTCAATGACCGCATGCTGCCTGTGTGCGTGTGCCTGCTCTTCCGCCTCACGCTCCGCAGATAGTTCCTGTACAGGATCACGCTGATCACCCTGTCCTGGAACTGCTTGGAGACGATGTAGAACAGGATGATGTCCAACACCGTGCTCAGGTTCATCAGGAATGTGGTGAAGACCGCCCACGTGCTGTACCCCCCGTCTCTGCCCGTCCCCACCAAGCGGAGCACCAGGCACACGTGGAAGGGCACGAAGCACACCAGCACTTGGACGATCAGCGTGACGATGATCCTGATGGACTTCTGCTTCACTTTGGGTTTGAGCTTGGAGGTGCGCCCGTGAATCAAGTTGTCCACGATGACGACGTAGCAGCCGATCATTATGCATATGGGCACCAGGAAGAAGCAGATGAGTCGCACGAAGTTCACGGGGTTGTCGTGGCGCATGTGGATGATGTCTTGCATTTTGATGCAGGTGGTGAAGTTGGAGGCTCGGTCTGGGTCTTCCCCGGAGAAGAGCAGGGGCACGGTGCCGCCCAGGGTCATGACCCACACGCCGAGGCTTGCCACCACGGCCTTTGGGATGTTCTTCAGCTCTTTGCCGTGCTTTGGCTGGACTATGGCCATGTAGCGATCCGCGCTGATCAAAGCAAACAGCCACAGGGCCATGGATGGGTAGAAGATGGTGAGGGCGGCGGTGATCCGGCAGAAAATGTCCCCAAAGGGCCAGAAATCCTGCTGGTGGTAAACCATTCGGAATGGTAGCAGCAAGACGAAGGTGAGGTCCACCACCGCCACGTTTATCATGTAGACGGTGACCGAGTTCTTCTTCTTGGTGGTAAGAGAAAACACCCACAGAGCGGTGATGTTGACCACAACCCCGATGGCAAAGACGAAGGAGTAGAAGACCAGGCCTGCGATGCGGTACTCCACCGGCCCCTGGCTCACAACGCCAGACTCCTCAGACATGTTGGAGAAGTTTAGATTCAGCCTCATTCTGAAACTGAATAAAGCAAGACAGGTCTTTATTTCACTTCAGCAGTTCCTTTATCATCATTGTTTGCCTTTCATAGCCTATTTGTTTTCCTGATTGGAAGTGAGGTCCTGTTAATTCACTTATGTTAAAAGGGCATGTGCTACTCGCAAAGTTCTAATGAGGAAAAAGTGCTATTTTGGCCCAGAGTTTCTCTTATGTACAAAAAAGGTTTTTGAGTATACAATGTGTGTTGAGAAGAGAAGGTCCTGAGTTTGAAACTGCCCAGCACCCCTCAGTGTTTGCATGTTCCCCCCAGGTGCTCTGGCTTCCTCCCACAGTCCAAAGACTCTGGGGGTCAATTGGTGACTCTACAAATTGTCAGTAGGTGTAAGAATAGGAGACTGAATGTGTCTGATGCAAGTTGTGATGGACTCCACCCCCCGGAACCCACTAAAGGGAAGCGATACATCGCCTCCAAAAATACATGATTACTGATGGCCAGTTTGACAAATAGGTTTCTGATGAGCAAACAAGGTAATACGACTTACTTTTAAACATTATGTAGAAGTTACTCCTCATGAGTCCACCAAATTTGAAATCTAAGAAAAAAACAGAATAGTCAGATAACACAATAAAAATGCGTACATACATCAGTTGGCCAGATCTGCAGCTGAGTAGTTTGAATATCTATTTTAAAATGGCGTGATGCTGCACTGAAAGTGATAGAGGAAGAGAAAAAGGCCACGCATGTCTAGATGTTTTATTACTTAGAAGATACATAAAAAAGCAAAGAACTTGAACATTTACACGTCACACTGTGCAGAATGGAATAACAATGGAAACAACGTGAAAATCAAGTTGATGCTTTAAATGATCTGGCTTCTGTCCTGTCTGCACAAAGTGTGGCTGATCAGTACAAATCTGAAAAACAATTTATGTAAAGGTCCAATTTAATAAAATTAAAAGAAGAACTTTATCCGGCAACACACAAACACAAACGGGTGACTGTACAACAGGTTTGCTAAAACAACTTTCTCCCGTCTGTCTGAGCGTACGAACAGATCAGGTCGTCTCCCCTGAGCAATAAAAGACAGCACTCACCACAGAAATCACACAAACATCTTGACAAGCTCGCCTCACCCGGGTTATGAAGCGGCGAGGGACGATTTATCGTCGCACTCGGCCCAAAAAAGGGGAACTATGAATTTCTCTTCTCAAAGGGTAATGCGATGGAAACGGTGAGTGGGCTGAACAACGGCGTCGAGCCCCCAGCCACTTCCTGTGCAGCGTAGTTTCTGTACTTCAGATTCCTTTACAGTGATCCACGTAGTCACAACACAAAGGGCTACAGCTTCTCCACAGTCTGCAATTACAACCCCCTTACAGAAAATGATGTGCCATTAAGAGTGGGAGTGGGTTTGGCAGGCTGAGAGATGGCAGATTTAGGGCGAGTTATTGATTGGAAAAGTGGGGTCTGTCACAGCACATTAGTTCTCAGGGGAGTAATCCACAGCAGGTTGCTGTGAGAAGCATCTGCTGCTGGAGAGAAGTAATTAAAAACAGGATGTTGAGGCAGTCGCCATATAAACAGGAAATAAGACGGCCGTAATAGACACTTCACGCTGATGCTGGGAGATGGTTTTACATTTAATGGATGCAAAGCGCATACCTCAGGTAAAGTAGCTCAAGGTCAGGCCGGACCTGGATTGAATACAGATTAATGTGTGTGTGTGTGTGTGTGTGTGTGTGTGTGTGTGTGTGTGTGTGTGTGTGTGTGTGTGTGTGTGGGGGGAGGGGTTAGCTGGTGACAACTATGAATTAGGACGTTTGGCTCGGAGCACATTGCAAAATCCAAACTTCTCCTCTCTGGTGCTTTCCATTCCCGTTATAGATGTTGGTGCTAAACTCACTTCCATTCTTTGTTTCATCACAGTGTTGTGCACAGGAAGCTGCTCATTCAGGCTAATTCTTATTCCCAGGGAATAACTATCTATCTGCTTGTCCTCTCGATGTGTCTTAAAAAATCTCGTGCCAGATGGCGCTTTGTGTTCATTGCAATATGTTGTTATGACAACAGTCTGTGCAATGTTTTCCTCTCTTTGATACTTGTCATGTGGCTGCCTCGGTAAACTCCATAATAAATAAGTCCTTTTCATTATTCGCCTGTATGTGCATATATGTGTGTGTGTGTGAAACGATATACGTTAATTTATTGTGACGGGTATCTATCTTCTGTCTTTTTGCACCTTCCCATAATCATTTGGTGTCTGCCGTTCTTGCTTAATATCAAACCAACAAAGAGGAATTGATACTGTTGTTACACCTGTCAATATCTAGATGCGGTTGCAGCTGCGCGTGGAGGATCCATTTAACTTCCTCTTACCGTCCCCACTTGATCCAGTTTCACACTGTCCTCTAGAGGCGGAACCCCGTCCCTGCACAGGTCGTCAGTGGTTGAAGCAAAAGTCAGAGGAACAATGTCATGTGTTAGGTTCTTTAACTGTGGCAATTCATAAGAAAGTGACTTAGCAGACCTTTTGGTTGAATACATTTTTTTTAGCTTTTTTAAAAGTGCAACACTTTTAAAACAGTATATTTATTGTCTTTCTGCGTGTCTCCTTTTGTGTCCCCATTTTTACGGCTGTCAGTCTCTTTGTCTCTCACTGGCTCACTGGTTTTATTTCCAAAAGTTAAAGAGCCCCTGCGGGCATTCTTACAAAGACATAAAAAAAATACTCGTCTTTGATTAATAATTTGGGTGCGTGTCTTAAAGGGGCCGTGTGGCATTCAGGGAGATCTATTGCAGAAATGAAATATGAAATTGATGAATATGTTTCTGTAGAATATGATCAACTGAAAACAGTTCAAAACAAATATCCTTATAGGCACAAACTTCAGAAATAACACAACATGCTTCTTGCACATTCCTCTTAAAACAAGCGCTGTCCTTTGATCGGGGGACAGAGGAAAAGGGGAGAGATGAAGCATTTGCACCTCATATCCTGTCGTAGATTTCCCGCCTCTAGTATTGTGCTGAATGGTGCTGAAGTGCTAAACTGTCTTTAACTCACAGTAAACACTATTTCTCTGTGGTTTTGTTGTTGCTGGGCTTCATCACCAGCATGATGACATTGACTCTGCTCAACTCTCTACCTGGCCCTTGTTTCGGGGGCAGCTGTTGGGCGGATAGGTGTGATCACACACGGGGGATGGTTGAGAAATATAGTGGGTGTGATTTGCCTGCTTTTTTCCCCCCATGCTTTAGCAAAGACGTCACAAAGATATGTTTTCCGAGAAGGAAATTTTAGGTGTGTAAGTAAAAATGAACAGTCAAATATGGAACATAATGACTGTTGTGGTGAGCATACTAAGCCTACAACACAGCTAAGGGCAAAATGAGTGGACAGTTCCAGTACTAATTAAACATCAAAAAGAACACTGAAAAATGAAGAATATAATCATAGCTTAAATAATGCTCCTACTTCTATGTATTTATGAGAGTATGCACCACCCCTGATGCTCAGTGTAGATGTACATCACACTTTATGCGCTTCCTACCAACCACAGAGGCCTGTTCATGATGGGGTGTTAGATCTGGTGTTTCCCATGACTGATGCCGATATTCACAGCGTGATTCTTCACTGCACAATTTGCATCTTCCTCCAACGAAGTGCAGAGTAATGTGTGGGTGATGAAAACAGATCAGGTCTCTTGCTACGGACTGTTTGGCCTTATGCTACAGACCAGCAAGTTGTCCTTTTAAACCCGTAACTACATACTGTTACTAATCCCCAAACCTTTCTATCATTCCTTAAACTTAAAAGCACCTTAACGATGTGGTGGTTCTCAGTTGTATTGTGTTAGGGTTTTAAGTAGAAGTGAATGTCTAGTCATAGAATTTGTAGTACGTGTAATGATGTTTAGTGTTAGAATTATAGTTTGTGTGTTATTAGATATTAGTTATTACATTAACATTTTAGATGAAGTGAATGCAATTTCAATCAAACACAATTCATAGTCATGTTAATCATATAAACACTCTGCACATTTACATTCTGTTACAATGTGATGTTAAAACCTGGGGACGGATGCCAATTACCGTTCTTTATGGATTTCTTCCAATTTTATCGCCAAAGAGGGTTTTTTGGGAGTTTTTTCTCCTGTCAGGTAATAAATGAACAACTTAATGTAAGGCAGCCGACTGAGGCAAATGTCTTGAGAATTGAACCACATGAACTGTTTTAGATCTTATGATGAAGTGTGATGAACGGTGATCATTAATGATGGGTTGTTGTAATGAAGGTGTACTAGTTATAAGATGAAGACTTAGACGATGTATGCTTTGTTAAATTCACTCATTGAGGCATAAAGCCAACTGAATCTACATTGAGTGCATTGGGATGTGAGGGACAGATAGGACAGAGAGGTTTCATGTTACAGCTGCAGCTTCACACCTCGACGTGAAGGGGACAATGGAGGATGTGACCCTTTGGAGAAGAGGCCAATGACATTCAAATGCACCAAGGAAGACACACCTCAAGAGTTTTCAAAGGGCCATGGCGGGGGAAAGACTGTTAGAATTTCTCCTGCAGCCGCGTTGATAAGTCACTTCAGACTTGCTCAGAGGATTCTCTATTTCGCGAAATATTCCACTGTTCGCTTAGAATTTCACTTTGTAATTGTAATCCCTATTACGTTGTTCAGTTATTAAATAACTTTTGATTTTTGAATTTAAATGAATTGACTCATTAGTGTCCTCGTTTCCGGCCGGGACGAGAACAACAGGAGTGAGGCCTCCCTCGAGAGCTTCCGAAACCTTAACAATTGTAGAAATTTGAATGGAAACATCCAATATAAAGGTTTTGTGTCATCTGCGTTCAACCAATGTCTGTTCTCTCTCGAAGAACAGAACCGTCTTGTAACGTGTGATGTCATTGGGTGTAAAGTGTGGAGCTGCTCCATAGACAACGAATGGGACAAGTAGGTTTTCATGTGCTTTTCTATTTTCATACCAAATACATTGCATCTCAAAGTCATCGCACACGTGCTTCACGTTGTCCAGGGAGCTGCTTCACACTTTGTACCTGATGGCACACTTCAGTTTTACCAGTTTAGGGATTTGGATGAGACTTTATTTGGATGACATTTTATTAGCATGTTAGTCTTCGTTAAAATGAATAAAATGGAATTTTGAAATTGTGCGTACCTCTGCCATGTTTCAAGGGATTATTGTATGTAAATCGTATCCACTGGTCCACAGGGGTTAGGATTAGGATTAGGGTTACATTCCAGCCTAACAAGAAATGCAGCAACGCACCAGCAAAGAAAGACTGCAAGCTTCACAGTACCCAAAGAATTAGCTCAGCAAATGTTTAATGAGGAAAATAAAGCACAGATGGTGGAACTCAGGAAATAAACACTTTGCATCATGGCGAATAGTATAGCATGTAAACATAACTACAGTATGTTCACAAGAAAAAACCCTCACGGCCCCTTTAAATTAAATGATATCACAGACCAATCCACTTTTACAACGAGGAAATGAATGCTAAAACAGAGAAATACATGCTGTTTACCATTAATTAAGCTTAATTCAGTTGGCAGCCCATGAAATGATGAGTGTACACTTTCTTGAGGTATTACACTGTGCGGCAATAAAGAACTGAGGTTGTGAGTGTGATTGTGTTTTGGAAAGAAGCTCGTGTTGGTTCATAAAAGTAACCCAGTGAGTATGGGACCGGATGTGAGGTTATCGCCTGTTTGCACATTTTACGCTGTTTTTCTTGCTTTCATTTGAGTGTCCCGCTGCACTCCTTACACGCTGTACTTGAGCTTTTCCAGTGCATAAGAATTTGAATGTGGGTAAGACTTGTTTTCAACTCCACCTCAACTCCGATTCATGCTTCACATTCAGTCCTTTTTCCTTCCATTGCTGCACTGATCTCTGCTTCCCTGAGACATTCATAATAACTAATAACTAACATAACTAATAACAAAATATGTAAACAAGGGAAGTGCTGGATTTTCATTCTGTCGCTCTGTTGAGGCACTTAGAAAACTGTCCTTATGTTAACAGCTGGATTTCTCTCGGATCCATATGGCAAAAGCCCTGACAACAGGACTCCAATGTTCACGGACAATCTCTGCAAGACACTGTTTGACTGGCCTTGATTAAAGCGGGCCTCAAGCTTAAAAGGTCCTCGCCTTTCGCGTAGCTCTTAGTGCCTTGGTTGTTTCATCTACTCGCCGTGGTGATACCTCCTCTCCGTGAGCCTCTCGCTGGTGGAGCCCACAGTACAGCTGTTGAGTTGGATCTTGTTGCCGTCGAGAATGTCCTTGGAGGAGCCTTCGGGTGACGTCCTCACCGCGCTGGAGAAGGACATGCTGACGTGCAGCTTCAGCAGCTTCCGGAGTTTCCTCTTGTAGCCCTTGCAGGCAAAGAAGTAGATGAAGGGATCCAGGCAGGAGTTGAGGTTCATCAGGCACACGGTGATGTGCAGCGACACCTGGAAGGCCGTTAAGTCCACGCAGTCGGGGCTCGACACCAGCTTGCGGATCATGTACTGCAGGATGTCGATGTGGTAGGGGCTGAAGCAGACGATGAACACCAGGGACACGCAGCAGATCACGCCGATGGCCTTGCGGCTCCGGCCCGACTTTTCCGTCAGACGGTTGCTCTTGGCCGAGAAGTGGAGTTTGGAGCACAGGACGGAGTACGACACGAGGATGGTGAGAAGGGGCAGGACGTAGCCCAGGAAGATGCCGCCGATCAGCATGGTGGCGACGTTATCGACCTTCTCAAAGTTGGGGTATTCCATGCAGGTGATGAAGCCATCGGGTTCCAGGTTGGTCATTTGCATTCCAAAGAGGGGGAGGGTCTGCGCCAGGACGAGCAGCCACACGCCCACGCAGATGTAACGCACGTTGCTGACGTTCCTGAGCCGCGCAAACCGCAGAGGCAGGACCACGGCGATGAAGCGGTCCACGCTGAGGCAGGTCATGAAGTTCACCCCGGCGTAGGTGTTGATGTAGAATACGAATCCCGAGATCTTGCACAGCGCCTCGCCCAGAGGCCAGTGGAAGCCCAGGGCGTAGTAGACTATCCTCACGGGCAGGGAGAGGGTGAAGAGGATGTCGGAGACCACCAGGTTGAGAGAGTACAGGGTGGTGGAGTTCATCTTCTTCATATTGGGGCGGATGACATGGAGGGCTAGGCTGTTCCCGAACAGCCCCACCAGGAACACCACGCAGTAGAACAGAGGCATGAAGACCCTGGCGTAGTCCCGGTGGGCGTACAGGGTGTCACAGGTGGTCTTGTTAGAGTCATTGTTGGGGGAGGTGAAGACAAAGGTCACAGGCGCTGCAGAAGCCATCTTCATATTTTTGGATCCACTACCTGAAAATAAAAGGAAAATAAGACATCAGACATTTATTTCATCGCTGTGTTTTCTTTTTCTCTCTCTGCTCGGATATGAGTCTGTGTTGAAATGAAACTCTGATGAGATTTCATTTTCATTTCTTCCTTTCGAAAAGGAGGTTACAGTATTTGTCATTTCTCCTCGCAGTTTTGTTAAACGATATAACTATGGCAATGGTAAAAGTAAAAGTCTAAAATATATGATGATGTTAAAGACTAAAGACCCTCTTACGATTTCACCATATATCAAGTCTTTTTTAACTCTCAGCTGATTTACCAAGCAACCATTTTAACTTCAACTCTCACCTTTATCTTTGCACCAGAGGCATTGGGCTTGAAACAAAACAAGAACAGATCTGGAATAAAGGGAAGGAGAAGAGGGCTAGAAGTCAACTGTCACCTGCACAGTGTGCATCACAACAGTGTCCCGTGATGCAGAAAGGGTTGATTCCCTGTCGTGTGGCGCCACCATGTGGTTCTTTTATGTGCAAAGCTCAACAGACACCAAACTTCTATCATTAGTCACTGGCAGCCACCAACACCTTGCACAATCAAGCCTTCACATTTCTTCACCCAAAAGGTGAAAGTTATGTAAAAAAACTAAAACAGGGAACAAGTCAGATGTTTTTTTTTTTCCGTGTGTCTGAAGTGAAGCATCTGTCCAGTTTTCACTTCCCATTTAGCAATGAGCTTGTACTTAAACGTGTGAAAAGTAACGGATGGCCGATTCAGAGGACTCGGCTGTTGTTTGCAGCTAAAAGTGACATGGAGGAAGTCTGTGAACAATAACTTGGCATCACTGGGATCCTGAATACAGCTGCAGCACTCTCACATTTACTCCGAATGGGGGGGAAAAGAAAGGCCGTGCGTTGAGAGACGGCCTTGTGTGTGAGGAAGGAAGCTTCCCCAGGGCTGCCTCAGAATGGCACGCTGTTGAAAAGTCATATTGTTGGAGCCAAAATTACCGCCGGCTCTGCTGGAGCACACGGCGCAGAAAAGAAACACGCTTCCCGGCTCATTGGCACAAGTGAAGAAAGACTTTTCTAATAGACCTTTCTTATTTAAATGCATTATCCACACACATGAACAGTCTGTAAGTAACTCTTATGACAACTTTTATATCAACAACATGCTGCGTACTGTCCCAACAGCATGGAAGCGGTTGTTTGCCTCGTAACTCCGGACGAGGGCTTTCACTCTGCTGTAAATGTGTATTTTCAGGGCTGAGTTTCCTTCATAAAACAATATCAAATTTGCTTAAACGTCCCATTAGTTTGCAGAGTAGATATCCGACTCAATAATAAAACGCAATGTCTCTCACAACTTAAATCCATAAGAAACCAAATTGCAGAACCGACATAGCTGAATGTAATCGCCACGATCACTTCACACGCGGTGCTGTGTCAGCAGCAACGGTTCAACACTTAAAAAGCAGTAGTTTGTGCGTGGAACCTACCTTCACGGATGCAGTGCGTTTTCCCTCTGCTTCAAGTCACATGGATCCAGAAGACTTGACACTTATCACAACTAGAAGGGCGGTCCTGACACCGCTACAGCTATCTGTCCTCGATGTGAGCGGCAGGACACGCGGCAATCAAGATCGGCCGCCTGTAACCATAGTGACAAAATATCCTGTTGAAACTCTCTCTCTCTCTTTCTGCCCACATGTGTGTGTGTGTGTGTCTCCGCCTCTCTCTCTCTTTTACTAAACTTTTCAAATGTTCTTTTTCCCAGCACACTAGTGGTGAAACACTTGACTGATTGCATTAAAAAAAACACCCTTGCGTGTAATGACATTTGGCCTTTGATGATTGATTAAGATCACAGGGGGGGGGGGGGTTTGCCCATTGTGTGTGCTGTGACAACGTATTTTGGATGAGAAAAATATTGTTTTCATACAGTGTGCCGGGTGTGTGTGTGTGTGTGTGTGTCGATGTATATGTGTGTGTATTTGTGGCTGCCTTTGCCCATGGATGTGTGTTCACATGTGTGTGTGTGTGTGTGTGTGTGTGTCGTCTTTTTGAGGATGTGGCTTCAGCTGCACAGATGAAACGATCCAGAGTTGCTTTCGTACAACGCTTATGCTAATACCAATACCAACTCAGAAGCATTTCACAAATCTCTCATTTTGTCCCGGTTTGTTTTCATATAGCACTTTCTGATCAATGCGCCTCTTGGTCTTTCACACACATGCGTGGCAGTGGAATGAGGAACTTCCCCGTTGCTTCAGAAGAACCTTTGTTTTGATCTTTTTGAACTTTTAGAAAAGATGAAGAAGAAGAAGACCCGCGCTCATGACTGATCTCGCTGCAGATCGCAATTCAGCTTTTGAAATAAATCAGGCGCGAGCGTTTTGGTGTTAGTAGCATAGATTGCAGGTGGTATGTGCTTTGGCCCCAAACCCCCACCACATGGATGCCACAGAGGCTGAGAGGCGAGGGCAAGGAGCGCGTGTGAGGCGTAGAGCAGCTCTACCCTCAAAGGACAGAGACGCTTTGGAGAGCATGAGACCAGAGACCATTTGAAATGTAAGATGTGTTCAAGCCTTTGCGATATGGAAGAAAATGAGGACAAGAAAATGTGTTATTAGGTTAATGTCGTGCTCTGGATCATGGTGAGCGTTGAGTACAAACTGCTGTCCTGTGGTTTCACACCTTTGAATCCCTCCCCCCTCCTCCCCTTTTCTTGCTGCAATCAAGAGAAATACAACAAAAAAAAAACAGAATACAGAAGCATTGTAAGAAGCATCGCTTCTATTGACCACAACTTTTCTCTGTTCAAAACAAGTCCGGAGGCGAGGCAGAGGAAGCCGCCCTACTTCCCCTCGGCTCGCCTTGTGGGTTTGACTCACTGGGCATCAGACGGCCGGATCACAAACTCGCTGACACGTGGCAGACCGGCTGCTGTCCCACGGGTATTCACGGGGCTGGAGGCCAAAGGTCGGACGCTTACCATGAAAATATAAAACTATGATGGCGAAACAAAAATAACTAATTTTCAATGAAAATGTGCGGAAACACAGAGAAATATGCACACTGCCTGGAGCATTTTGATAGGAGTCTGTTCTCTGCATATCCTGTGCTTAATCAAGGAAGTAATGAGACAAAAAAACTCCTAAAAAGGAAATCCTCTTGAGTGGTATCTGTGGAAATAATCAAATGCCATTTATACTTTACTTTGTAACGGACCTTAAAATGACTGGCACAGTGCTTCTGCTACTTTTATTTTCAACTGCTACATGGCTCTTATGTGATTCGGATCACACTGCCGACTGGAAGGAACAAATCTCTGTGACACCTTTACTTTATGTGACTAAGATGACAACATGTGGCTTTTGGCCGATCATCTAATTCTAATTAAGACACTTCTAACAAAATAACAAGCTTGTACATGGCAAAGATTGTTATCAAGAAGCTGAAACTATTGTAATCAAGAAGCTGCTGACTGTCTGTGATAGTGTGCCACTGTCTTGTTTCACACGCGGTTCAGATAAGATTGCAACAGTTAACAGGAAACTTCTGTGGCTATTTATGAAAAAAAGCAAAAAACAAGAAAAAAAGAATTGGTTGAGCAAGAAACACACTTTTTAAACTTTTGACGATTAATCGAAGTGAATAGATGTCATAAATGTCATAAATTAGTGTTTGTTCCATAACCATCAAACAACTTTTGTTTTGTAACAAATATGTTGCATTCTTATCCTAGGTCCCTTCTTATGCACTGTACATACATACATAAAGTATGACACATTGTGGCGTGGTGGTTAGCACTGTAGCCTCACAGCAAGGTCCTGGCTTTGACTCCGCCCAGCGGCCTCTCCGTGTGGGGTCTGCATGTTGTCTGCATGTTGTCTGCGTGTGGGGTCTGCATGTTGTCTGCATGTTGTCTGCATGTTGTCTGCGTGTGGGGTCTGCATGTTGTCTGCATGTTGTCTGCGTGTGGGGTCTGCATGTTGTCTGCGTGTGGGGTCTGCATGTTGTCTGCATGTTGTCTGCGTGTGGGGTCTGCATGTTGTCTGCGTGTTGCCTGCATGTTGTCTGCATGTTGTCTGCGTGTTGCCTGCATGTTGTCTGCGTGTTGTCTGCGTGTTGCCTGCATGTTGTCTGCATGTTGTCTGCATGTTGTCTGCATGTTGTCTGCATGTTGTCTGCGTGTTGCCTCCATGTTGTCTGCATGTCGTCTGCGTGTGGGGTCTGCATGTCGTCTGCATGTTGTCTGCGTGTGGGGTCTGCATGTTGTCTGCATGTTGTCTGCATGTTGTCTGCGTGGCTTCTCTCTGAGTACTCTGGCTTCCTCCCACAGTCCAAACACTCTGAACTGCCCGTAGGTGTGTGAGTGTGAATGGTTGTGTGTCTCTGTGTAGCCCTGTGATTGGCTGGCGACCAGTCGAGGGTGAACCCCGTCTATAGACTCCAGCCCCCCCGCGACCCTGTGTGCAGGATGAGTGGTTTGAAGATGGATGGATGTTCTATTCACAATGAAACCAGGCACCTCTTAGAGGTCAGACTGCAGCGCCCTCTACTGGTACAGACGCTGTGGAGCTTCTGCTTCTTATGTGCAACACTCGTGCTGTGACCTCGTCACATTATTAAATAAATAACCATACTAAACAATCTCAGAAATATTCAACTCCTTCTCATCAATTCAAAATGATGAATAACAATCTACAGCTGTATGCAGTGTATTGCTGTACATCTGTGTAAAAACGGCACTGTATTTATTTGACAATATTGGGCTCAAAGCAAGAACACACAACTCTTGAGTTGAGTCCTTGAGTAAAACATTCTTTGGTTGTCGGCCATCTTGTCAATTCTCAACCAGAAATTCGAAGGTGAACTGAACACTAAATAACACGTTATTGCTACACATTATAACACATTATTGTGTGTTATTATTAGGCGTTGGCAACGTTAAAATGAACCTCCATGGGATGAAAACACTTAGTGAAAGAGTTAAAATTGAAAGAAAAATATCTGGTGATGCTGTTGTAGCCACCTGTCAATCACAAGGTGACCCCGCCCCAAGGCATGCCCTGCTTTATGGTGTTTCTTTCTCCAAATGGTCCATAATTTCCTCAATGAACATCAAGCTGTCCTGCAGAACACTAGAGATTGAGACCATAAACTCAGAGTTTACAATGTGTCTGTTCATTGTTGGCCGGGGGCGAAACAGTAGGCCAGCGCAGGGTTTCACCCTGGACAGTTTCAACAGATTATCACAGGGGGGACAAACTATACACGCTGTCCACCCACCCAATATCTTAGAGTCTTTAATTAACGCAATATACTGTAAACGTGTACACTCCAGAGACGTTTATATTGTGGAAGGAACAGAAGACACAGAAAAAAGGTTCAGGCACCTCAGTACTGGCTTCAATAGAAGCAACAGAAGCTTTGCTTTGTGACTGCGAAGCAAAGAATGTCTGTTTGTCCCGTCTGGGTTTTATGTAGATACCCTGAGATGCCCCATTGTGGACTGAATTATTATGGAATATCTGTATGACTGTATAGTTATAAATGAATGTAATATATTTCTCTTAAAGGAACAGTGTAACACCACAATTTACTGGCAGAAATGAAATAAAACAAAAATGAATACGTTTTTGGTGAGTACCCAAAAACATAATTCCATGTGTTTTATTCACTTGAGAAAAAGCTGTTTAATATCTTCAAACAGAGCACGGCCTCCTCTCGGAGCTGGTCACCATGTTTCTACAGTGGCTCAAAATGGAAACAAACATTTGCCTTTCAAGCTAGCGTTAATAAATATAATTATAATAATAATTTTTTAAAAATCCAAGCTTTTTAATGCTGTTTTTTTATCCGATTCATCGATTAATCGAAATAATAATCAACCGATTATCGGCAATCGTTTATCAACGTAATTGTTAGTTGCAGCCCTTCTCTTATGGATTACTAACCCCATGCTCAAAAACAATAATGAATATGTTTGTAGTCCGTCCATCTCTCCTCTCTGAGGTTTCTTCCCATTTTCCCCCCAGGAAAGGGGTTTCATTTTTTTCTGTGCCGATGTGAGGCACAATGTACAGACTGTAAAACCCTCTGAGGCAAATTTGTAATTTATCATACACAACAATATGAAACAGACCAGTCATACCACTTTATTCAAACCAACGGAACACCCGTACGTCACAATTTCAGCACTATACCTTTTATGCAAAATCACACGGCACCAGTTCCAAAAACGCAGGAAACGTTGGAGGTTAAAAATAAATATGGCACTTTGCCTCTCAAACTGAGGGTGTGCACCTGCTTCACACACACACACACACACACACACACACACACACACACACACACACACACACACACACACACACACACACACACACAGCCCAATCACGAGATGTGGGACCCAGCTGGAGTGAGGCGGGTGAGGGGGAGCAGGAAAGGTGGGTGAGGAAGCGGTGACAGTACTCAGCTACGTAGGCTACTCCCACACACAACTCAGATGTGGGTATGAAACCGGTGTCATTTCGCTCTATATCCAAATTTCTTGCACCATATGAAACAGGTTCTTAGTAACAACAAAGCCCACATGACGTATTTAGCAGCAGCTTCAATGCCCAATGATGAAGTAACAACCCACTTACACACTTTACTAATATTATTGTTTGGTTCAACTTGGGCAGCACACATCTCTTCTCTTCTCTACAAAAATGAAGTGAAAGTTGCTGTTGTCATCCATTAATAACCTCAAATGTCTTTTACAGACGCAGACGGAAGCTCGTTTGGGGCAGTTATGCCCCCCCCCCCCCCCAACTCACCACCCACACACACCGATTCATGCTAGATTTCTTAACACATTACTATATGGAGGACTACGGTTTAACGGTTAACAAGAAAAGTAACAAGCTGTACGTAAATATAAAAACAGAAACATGGAAGAATAAATGTTGCATTTTAATAAGTATCCACCGCATGTGAACGTGCCGCAATATCTCAAGTGAAAAGACTCGTTAGTCTTTTCCACAGAGAGGGATTAAAACAGGCCCTACGGTCTTCTTTGTGTGCCTCCCGCGGAGCCGAGCCGTGGTTTCCCTCAGGTGTTGCTGCTGCTGTTCTCAGCTGTCATTTTGGAGGAGGCGGCGGAAGCATACAGATAGTCCTTGAACAGGCTCAGCACCCGCCGCTTGTACGTCTTAATGGCAAAGAAGTAGATGACTGGGTCCAAGCAGCAGTTGAAGTTCATGAGCGAAACTGTGATCTGCGGGGAGAGAGGGGCCGGATTACCAGGAGTAAAGAAGTCAACGGGAAACCGACTGGGCGCAGCTCCCTACCTGTAAGGACACCTTGAAGGCCCTCAGTTCCTCGCACGTCACCTGGTGGTGTATCTTTCTGGACATGAACTGCATGACGTTGAGGTGGTAGGGGCCGAAGCACGCGATAAAAAGTCAGGAGAATGAGAGAATGATGGCGTTGACCCTGTGGTTCCTCCTGGATGGAGCGGGCAGCGAGCTGTGCTTTGGCCGCGGCTCGCAGCTTCAGGTTGATCTTGGCGTAGCAGCCGGCGATGACGGCGAGCGGGCAGCAGAAGGAGACGGTACAGGCCAGGAGCAGGAGGTACGGCGTCAAGCGGGAGCCCTCGAAGTTGAAGTACTCCATGCAGGTCCGCCTCCCCTGGTGCTCGCGCAGCATGCTGTGGAAGAGCAGGGGGGCTACCTGCAGGGAGACCAGGGCCCAGACCACGTAGGAGACCCGGCGGACCACCCTCACGCTTCGCAAACACTGCAGCCGGTGCGGATGCACCATGGCCAGGTATCGATCTAGACTGATGCAGGTCATGAAGCCAATACCTGGTGGAGAAAAAGATGGAAACCACAATGCGGCTTCTGCTTAACAAATAAGAAAGAGTCATGAAAGTTGTGAAGAAATGGGCTGAACTGACTTTGCAGATTTCAACATTACTGGTTCAACTTTTTTTTTTACACTGTGTAAATTCTGAGGTCTCTCGCACACAAAGTCAGACGTGGAAAGTTTGGACATGAGGACGCAGAACGAACCGACATTACCTGCATATGTATTTGTGAAAAAGAGCAGCGTGGTCAGTCTGCAGAGAAGGTCCCCAAAGGGCCAGTCAAAGTGGCGGATGTAATAAATGATTCGTCCAGGAAGTGCCAGAGTGAACAGGGAGTCGGACAGCGCGAGGTTGACCAGATAGACCGAGGTGGAGTTGAACTTCTGCTTCCTCTGGCAGATCACGTAGAGGACCAAGCTGTTGCCACATGCACTGATTATGAAAACCGCAGAGTAGAAAATGGGGAAGAGCACCGCGGCGGACTTCTGGTAGACAAACACGTCGCAGCTGCTCCGGTTTGAAGGGTTCTCAGCTGAGTCCGGGGTGATGTTTTCAAATGCCATCTTACCTGACAAAAGTGAGGAAAGAATGGAAGTCGTGAATCAAAATAAAAAGAAATACAAGGGTGAGCAAAGGAGCCAGAGGGCAAAGGACCTGAGCTATACATCCAATAAAGATAATATATTGTAGTACTTACAATAAGAGATACGCTCCTGCAGCTGTTTACGCTCCAGAGTCTAGAGGTTGTTGTGAATCTAGTTGTGTGTCTTTAAACGCCTCTGAAAAGGTTGGATGCAGCTTTCAAATCCCACCTCTCTTTTTTGACATCATATGTATGTCACTAAAAGCCGTAGTGGTTTGTAGATCCTGCACTGTGCATCGCTCAGTTTCATAGCACAGTGTTTTATAACTTAATAACAATTTGGAAAGAAATGTGATAATATAATCCCCTAAATTGGAATAGTATAATAGCTAAATGAAGAAGTACCATGAGCCGAATCATGAATTACTCTAATGTCTTTGTGCTATTTTATTTCTGTTATTGTTTTACTTGTATTTTAATGAAATAACCCTCACTCTCTCAATTCAATGTAATTAACACGAAAGTTTCATCAATGTTGCCAAACCATCTACATACAAAAGTACACAGTGATGACTTTGATGTGACTATTATCTATAAAGTCTGAAAAGGTCCTACGCACGAAAAGTTTGACTGATGCATCTACATTTATAAAGATACGACATATATGTGGCAGACACAACTCATGCTCGGTCAGCCGCCTCAAACTATGACGCTCTAGGATCCGCAAAATCTCACAAAAATATTGCCACATGAACTTGAGGTGCATGTTAGCAACAACAACCATGCTTGACCTTCAGGGTACCCACTTTGTGACACACACACACACGCACACACACTATGTGACCCAACATTCCCTCTTTGTAGTTGGTACTAGAGTGCCGCAGCGTCTTTTGAGTGTGTGTCAGAGAGAGAGCGAGGGAAGAAAACCGAGCGAGCGCTCGTGGCATTCATGTCGCTTCTCTGCATCCATGTCAGTTTGGTTGCTTTGGTCGATCCAGAGTTCAATCAAAGAGTGCACCTATTTGCACTACAGCTTGCCGAGAGCGCAGCGCGGAGAAAGGTTAGATGAAGTGATTAGGTGTGAGGTTTTACAATACCTTCCTGCCTCTGAGGTTTCTCAAGTTTCAACTTCACGTAGCTGAGGTGGAGGCTCGCGGGCCTGAGGTGGAGCTGTTGGAAAATCTAGAAGGAAGCCAAAGTGTGTGAGGTTAGGATGAACCGCTAACAACTCAAAGAATTTCACCTCTACATGTATGTCAACCACCAACCCGCCGAAACATTTAAAACGTAATAAATCCCGACTGAGAGAAATTCTGAGAACAGTTCTGCTGCTTATTAAAATGTTGCAAGGTAAGTTGCAGCAGCTTCACTGCTCATCAAAAAGGCATCTCAGTGAACGGATGGTGACAGTATTCGGTATTCACCGCTGCCGGGGGTTTGATTCTAATACCGTTATCTGTCTTATAAAGGTGAACAAAACCAAAGATCATTTTCTTGTCCACATTGCCTCGACCTTTCAGATGAACATAAGAGTCAAAAATAATAACCGTTATTAGAACTTAAAGCCACAATCAAAATACAAATGCGATGCGACACCTGTCCTAATGGTGTGTTAAGTCGCATCACAGTGGTGTAAGACTAATGGTACAGTACAGTGGGGGCGAGCTAACAGCAGTACAGTAGTAGTAGTGATAGTACGCTGGCTGCGGCGTCTCGTCATCCCGCTCTCCAGGTTGGTGTAATTTAAATGGATGGCTGCTGCAAAGGCAAAAGGTCACTAATTGTCACCAGTCAAATGTGGTTATATTACAGCTCACTTAAGTCACAATAAGAGCTTCATGTCACCTGCCGGATAGGAGCCTGCTGCACTTCAGGCCCGCGTTGCATGCTCCATTAATTCTGTGCCCTGAGTTAAACATCCTGTGTGCTAGAAAAATGGAAAGACACGTTATTTGTTGGGAGGTGTCCTGGGGGGGGGGGGGGGGGGGTATTAAATGCTGCGAAAGGGCATGGAAAGAAGTAGATGATCATTTGTGTTCATGCATGCCCTTTGAGTTTTCACAACCCCAAATAAGCAGTGTAATTGAGAGCTCCGTCGCCGACTTATACCTCCCGTTTCCTCTCAAACCTGCTCCAACTTGAACTCATAACCGCGCCTCTTTCTCTGAATCAACTCTGCACCTAAATGCCTCAATGTAATCCAGTAATCAGAATGAATGCTTGCAATGCATTACTCCATTGTAAGCACACGGTGTGCAGCAGCTCTCTGGGTTGATGGGTGCGTGACATAAAAGGTCTTAGGAAATTGAAAGTGATGACCCAGCATGAAACGTGCACGGAAGTCACTTTTCAGAAATGTGACCTTTTTCTGGTTGTTAAATCAGGGGTGGGCAACTTATTTGAAGAGAATTATACAGTAGTCAATGCAGGCAACTGCAGCCCCATAAAAAAAACACCCCAGAAGGCACATCGTCTTAAAGGCACCCCTGGTGGTGGTGGCAGTGCTGTGTGTGTGTGTGTGTGTGTGTGTGTGTGTGTGTGTGTGTGTGTGTGTGTGTGTCTGTGGCGTGGGGGGACAAGCGGGGTGTTGGTGAGGCAAACTGGGAATGACTTCTGGTGTCCTGGACGCGTGCGGAACAGCCAGCGTGGTTCCACAAACGATGCCCAACCAAATTTGGGATGTTTTTCGCTGCCAGATTGAATTGTGTGTTAAACCTTCCCCCCACGTGGTCAAAGTTTAACTCTGCTTTATCGCACCAAATTCCCCTTAATGCTGCCACGTACCGAGGGACAATCTCGCTGAGGGAGAGGGGACGTGAAGTATTGCAACGCATGCAGCTATAACACATGAGGCCGCTAGAGGGGGTGCCACCGCTACGAATCACTCACAGAAAATAATAAAGTGCATTATTCACAGTGACGGAGGAAATTAATCTGAGCAAAATGTTTGGAGCTTTGAAAGAAAAAACAGAAAATGGTCTTTTGTTGTTTAATATTTCCCATTAAACAAAGTCAGCGTAGTGGTGTTAACGTCGCGTGCTCATGTGCGTTTATGCATTTGTGTGTGTGTGACTGCTGGACATACCGCAGGGGGACTCCTGCGTGGTCAGGGGGGCCTCATGTGGCTCGTGTCTGTTCTCATCATCACCACCCCCTCCAGCAACCCCCCCCTTAACCCTCCCCCATCACTCCCCCCCCCCCCCCCCCTTTCAACAGATGCCCAGCTCTTACTGTTATTAATCGCACCGAGCCTCACTGCTGAAGACTCCCTTCTTCTCCCCATTTTTCACGCTTGTCACCAACGCCACCAGTGGTTTCCCAACTAAACACTATGAGACCCTTCGCTTGGGCTCGCCGCTCCTCTCGTCATGCTTTACCCAAAAGGAAAAACAGTACCGGTGAGCGAGGCTGCGAGCTGCGTGTGAAGGGCCCGTTGTTTCCTGCTGTCACAGGTGTGCAGCGACAGCGTTTCAAAGCCACAGTCCCCCCCCCCCCCCCCCTCTCATGGCGAGCCGCTCCTAATGTGACGTGTCATCCCGTTGACACTGTTGCCTGTTGTGCTAAAAACACAAACCGGCTCATCGTGTCTGGTGTCCGTTTGAACTGCTCGTGACTTCACACTTGTGAACAAGCCGCCTTGCTGCCACGTGCAGGAAGAGCCTCGCGGTGAATAAACTCACCGCACACACAAGTACGCAACTCTCGAAAGCTCTGATCGGCCCCCTCAGGGAATTACTGATTGTTGCAACCCGAAGAAGGGTCAAGTTCATGACTTTTGATGCTCCGATTATTGGTGCTTAGAGATATTGATTCATCACAGTGAAACACACATCAAGATGGGCTTTCTGGACAGAAAGCCTTTAAGGCAGAAATCTGAATATCGTTATTCAATGAAATTGTCCAGCAGTAGCTCTAAAGTTCATCTCAACAAAGAATACACGCAACTCAAAATGGATTCCTTAATCTCAAGTACAGTTGCCTTAAAAATCCCTTTGCTCTCACTTCCTAAGGAATTACCAGAAGTTGACAAATCCCCAATAATATCCTCTGGCTCTACCGTTGTAGGTGAGTCGCATGGGAAGCTCTTGATTATCTTCTGCAGAGTGTAGCAGGATATATTTGGAGAGAAACCAAGATGTTGATATTGGATGACAAAATGATTTAAATCTCACATGCATATTTCAATTCACAGTATAAACATATATGGTTTTGTTCTGTGCTGAATAATGAATACAGGGTTGCAATTCAACTATTATTATTAGTTTTATTCTGGCAACCAAACACATATCACAGACACAGACACACAGCTTTTTGTAGTTTGATTAACTTGAACTTAAAAGGAAAAAGTCAATCGTGCAAACGACGAGTGATACATCAATGATCATCTGGACAATTAGCTCACTCCCCTCCATAGGTGACTCTCAGGTCAGAGGTCAGCTACAGTGCAGCCCCTCTGGGGCTTGGAGGGACTTAGCGACTTGGTTTGCCGATACAGGATTTGACTCGGTGGAGAAGAGCTGTAACTGTCATTGCGTGCATGATTTGAGAAATTCCACTGAGCAGCACCATCTTCAGGATCTGCAGCAAAACAGTCCCACCAGCTCTGAGCTCCGACCTTTGGCCTCTCGATCCTTCTCTGCTGGTGTTTCTTACTTGTAATTTCTCTCTTAGATTTCCTATTTTTTCAGGTTTAATTGTACACATGCATGACCTTGGGTCTCTGCGGTGCTTTGCTGCTCTCTCTAGAGCAGCGGTTCCCAAACACAAGAATACCGCGGCCCAATTTGAAATCTGAAAATCTTTTTCACCCACACCTTCAATCACAACTCTGATCAAAACATAAACTAGGGATGATTAAATGACCTTAAGAATTTAACCGATTAAAAATGTATTAACCGACAATATATGTTTTGTATACCAGTTTCTCCGGAGCTCATATATATTTACTTTAATACTACAAGAGGGCGCCGCATTTGACATCTTTTTATATTAATTTAAAACTTTTCAAAATTGAAAATGAAAAACATTTTAATTATTTATTGTAAATGACCTCTCGCGGCCCACCTGCAGTACCTTGGCGGCCCACTGGTGGTCCACACTTTAGGGAATCGCTGCTCTAGGATTATTATATGATTTGGTGTTTAAGGAAATGTGCAAATATTTCCAATAAAAACGGCACAGTAACTGTTGT